ATATTACAATGATATTCTATTCATACTGTGCTTGATATACTACATTCACGGAAATGTAATATTTTTTCCTGAAATTACGTACGTATTACAGTGGAAAGTGGGATAAAATCGTGACGAAAACAATGACTCGCTTTCTTTCGTTCAAAAGATGTTACCGTAATCGCTTTTCGAATGGTTTAGTTAAAAAACTGTTGTATTACAATAATATTCCCTCCTAATTGACTTGAATAAATACTTGAATGGAAATATACAATATTTTTGTTGAAACTACCTGCGTTTCAGTGTAAAGTGTCGTAATAATAAATGGTAAACAAGTTTATAGGACGTAGAGTTTTTCTGAAGGTTTTGTTGTTCCATTACCCTCAAAATCTTGGGTCGACCTATAAACGAGGAATATCATAAATTAACGATTTCTTGGTCATAAAATCGGGGTCGACCTATATACGAAGGGGGGTTATAGACGAGTATATACGGTATTTATTACAAAAAAGTTAAGTATTCTGGTTTTCCCAGACATCTCCTTGGGACGGTTGGTGGGGGGTGGGGGGGAGGGAGGGACCGACCGACCATCTGTTACCCTGTGAAGAATATATATTTTTTTTTATTAACTGAAGATATTTGTTTTAGCTCATAAAATTCATACAAATTACCCGGTCAGAATATAATTTACATTGCTGGAATTCTTATAATTTGATGATCATTTTGAATATAAACATCATATATTTTGCATTAGATATACAAATTTTAGATAAAATGTTTTCTGAGTAAATATGTTATCTTTTGTGCAAAATATATGACATTTATATTCAAAATATTCCTGGTCTTACAAGGAATCCAGCAATGTCAATTATATTATCCTAACTTTAATCTGAGGTATTATTTAATACAAAATGTTAAAATTTATTTTTTTCACCCACTCTCTCTTGAAGGGAGGATTGGTGGGGGTGGGGGGAGGGTTGGGACTGACCGCGCGGTTGGAAGAGGGGGGAGGCAAGGTGGGGTACTTTGATTGACAGATAGTGTCCTGAAGAATATTTTTTTTTTTATTAACTGAAGATATTTGTTTTAGCTCATAAAATTCATACAAATTACCCGGCCAGAATATAATTTACATTGCTGGAATTCTTATAATTTGGTGATCATTTTGAATATAAACATCATATATTTTGCATTAGACATACAAATTTTAGATAAAATGTTTTCTCTAGTAAATATGTTATCTTTTGTGCAAAATATATGACATTTATATTCAAAATATTCCTGGTCTTACAAGGAATCCAGCAATGTCAATTGTATTATCCTAACTTTAGTTTGAGGTATTATTTATTAAAATTTAGTGGTTTTCCCCCAAAAATTTCTCAGAGAGGGAAGAGCCAGCAGTGTAGTGTGAGAAGAGGGGGAGGGAGTTGAGTCCATTATTTGAATGGACATTAACTTGGCGACTGTATTTCTCTATTTCTCTTAAGTATTAATTGTGTGCATGTACCATCATAAAATTAAGATGTTATTTTTACTACAACATAGTTATGTGTCTTCAAAAAGTGGAGTTTGGGGGTCGGGCTGGTTTCTATTGGAATTAATCCCATATGTTCTGTTGTTCACTTAACGCGGATTTCACTTAACACGGGACCCTCTGGGTTCTATTGACCGCGTTAAGTGGGGTACAACTGTAGCCTACTTGAAATAGATTTGCTGATTTATTTGTTTATTTATTTATTTATAATATACTGTAATATATTAAATGCACTGCAAGTATTTTCTTTAATTATATACTTGTTTTGCAAAAAAGGGAGGCTACCATTATACCTGGTAGGTGAAGTTGACCAGACATTTATGGTGATCATTAAGGACCAAACTCCGAATCCATGACGTGACTTCTGTTCATCACTTATATCCTAAATTTACCACTGTCAGTAGTTTCAAGAATTAATGCAGTCATTTACTGAATATTCTTTGTAAAAAAATAAATTTTAAATGAATTATTTATAGGAGATAAGTATTATGATCAGTAAATATACAGATATGCATTACTGACCACCTCCGAACACAAAGACGGCTAAAAATAGCCACAGGCGGTCACAGTCAAGGTCACTTTCCCTTTCTTGTCACTGGCAAATGGAGGGGGGGGTGATGATAGCAGCTGTGTTTATTACCTGGGTATATTGTTCTTTTACGGTATGTTAGACAGGTTTATAATACATTTTTATTATTTTTATATACCGGTAATCTTCATTTTAATCCAGCTTCCCAAACGTAAGTTTCAGTATAAAATAATGAGTGGTAGGACATTGTGAGTGGTTTACCATGTTTCCATCACCACTCTTGACACGCTAAACCGCAATATTTAAGAGGTAAGAATTTTATATTTGGTGCTTAAGACGACCCCCTAACTTTGGGCTGATTTTTTTATGGTTCAAATTCCGTCTTATAGGCCGAGATATACGGTAAGTAATTTATAATAATAATAATAATAATAATAATTAACGGTTTATTAAAAAAACATGGCAGCCCGAAGGCTGAAAATATACAACGAACAGAGATGACAAGTTACATATGGTGAAATCGGGGAGTGGGTCACTTGATTGACAAAAGCTTTCAATACAGATACATAAGAAACATAGAGTCAACATATAGATTAACTTTAGATCTGGTACTGTGGGAGCTGCTCTGTAAACATTCTTTTGACCTGCTGTCGGCACCAAGAGTCCTTCCCACTGTCTTGATGGCCGTTGTACCTGACTGCTAAGCCGCTACCTCACTACAGCTGCAGATGTACCACGTGGTCTGGGTAGGTCCTCCAGCTCACACAGGGTGTTGGAGATGGTTCTTGTTTCTCATATGATGTAGTTAGGAATTCATAATTCCTCACCTGGGTGGAGTAGGGAGTCCTCATTTCTCTCCTGGTGTAGTTTGGAGTGTTTCTTGGCTTCTCATCCAGTTTTGGGGGTGGCGAGTGTATCGCGGGCTGGGTGCATCAGGTCAACAGCAGCCTCTAAGTACTGATTGTCGCTCTAACAGTTGTTTCTTCCTTTCGAGTTGAAAGTGTCACTTTTGTATATCAGTTGTGGGTTGATCGTCAATCTTTGCACCGTACTGTTGGCGGGAGGATGTTGATAAATCCAGATGGGGAGGAGGAGATGGGGAAGGAGAAGGGCCTGACAGACCAGGCTGGCAGCTGTCTCCTTGGTCAAGAGACCACAGCCGCGTGAGCGGGCAGCGCCAACTACACACGTCCTTACCCGGAATTTTCCAGGTAACGGAAAAATGTTCTCAGAAGTTTAAGAAATTGCACATTACATCATCTCTCGAACCCGGAAAAATATTCCTCATCCTCAGAATTTTCCAGATACCAGAAAATTTATCTCAAAATTTCTGAAAATGCGCCTGATTTTCATCTCTCAAACCCGGAAGAAACTCCCCCCCCCCCCATCCCCAAAATTTTCCGGGTCCTGGGAAAATTTTCTCAGAATTTTCCAGAAAATGTGTCCCTTGGAAAATCATCCCCAAAACCAGAATTCTCCGGAAAATTAATGCTATGGTAACGATTTTCCAAGAAAATTTCAATTCCTGCTATCGGAGAGCTCCGGTTAAGAGGGATTCCGGTTAATGGAGAAATTACTGTATTAGCACCACCTAAATCATACTTTCAGTGATGCAGAGATGGATTAGCCTCAACCAGAGCTTTTTTAGTTTAACAAATTTATTTACAAAGCTTGGAGTACAGTTTGCCTATTCTGAGTAATTCAGTCAGGTCTTGACACTGAGGATGGTATCACTTCTCACTGCCACGCAGGACAGAGGTTTCAGAGCGAGCTATTCACTACCTCCCGCCTGCCTCCCTCCCTCCCACCCACTGCATCTCACGCTCGTTCATCAAACAATTGATTGATTGATTGAGTGTGGTAATTACATCCCTGGTGACACAACAGCTTAGATCATATATCACCGAATTAAAATAAAGGTTCAAAAGACTAAAATCAAATAATGCTAGGTGAAAAACATGAGCAATAAATAATATAGAACTTTTGTAAAAATATTTAAATGTTGATTGATAAAACTGAAAGCTTGTGTAGAAGGCCAGCTTCCTCCGCGAAGGAGAGGATGTTGTCTCCCATATTACCCCCTGAGCAGCACCAAAAAGAGATGGTAAGACTTGTCTTCCCCCGGTGCTGGGAGACGTGCTTACGACGAAGATTTCTGAGACTGGGGCACTCCACCAGGAGGTGTCGAATTGTCAATGAGACCAGGTAGCCATCACAATGGGGAGGGGGCCCCCTCTCTCCATTAAAAACCATGTGTCAGCTGTGTGTGGCCAATGCGGAGGCAGGCCTAAGTAGTCTCCCGGCGGTGCGACAGTCCTTGATATCCCCAGGCACTCAATGCAGGGTGGATGTCAAGGAGCTTGTCTGCTTCGACAGCATCCTATCTGCATTGCCAATTCGAGCGGATTGAATGACTGTCATTCATGATATACTATTGTTTATTTGTTATTCATTAATTAATAAATATATGTTACTGTAATAATCTGTGTTTATTAGAACAGTACTGTATATCTCATAGGTAAAAAAAATAACGTCATCAGGAACGCCTCTCCATGCAATGTTATAATGACCTTTTAAAATGCTGTTTTGGATAGCGCACTATAATCTAGGAACATATCCTGAGCACTAAATATGGTATTAATGTGTAAAGGTACCCTTAACATACTTATTATCTGGGGTCTATCTAATTTAATTTTGGTAATTGATTGTTTTAATGACTCTTGACAGGGTAAGTGGGTAATCTTTGACTACCTCTGGGAACCGTGAACCTGCCTTGCCTGCTATGGGGCTCTTGGATACCCTACATATAATGCCTAGTACAGTTTTATCTCTGAAATGGCATCCAGCTGTAAAACCTAATTTAAAATTGCTTCATTGGTGTGTGCTGCATTTTCTAGGCTAATAGTAGTAACAAGAAATTAGAATAAGCATAAGAAATAATGTCTATCATCATTGCAGATGATTGTGTGCACTTGTCAGGGCTGGACATCTTGGATGGGACACCAGTACTAGATATTAAACCCTACATTCCTCAATATGATGCTCCTAACATTATTTCATCTACATTGGACATCACTCCTGCTCAGGAGAGAATAGATCTTAGAAAATGGGATAAACTTGAATATAATAAAACAAAAAGTGTGACAGAAATTAATGTGGAAGAAAACTCCTTCTCTAATATAACCGTTGCAAATAGTTCTCAACACAGTAGTAAATCTAAAGTGGTGCAAACTGAACAAAAGATAAGATGTAGTGATAACGAGTTTATAAGTGAACCATTTTCATGTTATGATAAAACTAATACCATAGTGTCTGGTTCAGGAATAGTCAACCATCAGTCACCAAAGCTAAAGGATACAAAGGTCTTAAAACTAACTAAGGAATTGGGTGAATCATCAAGGACCATTAATATAGATGGTAATTCAGGTAGTGTTGATATGTCCAATAGTAACTGTGGAAAGAACAAATGTCTTTTGTCTCAGTTGAGCAAAGAAATAAAGCCACATCTCAGCCTAGGCAATAAACATACAGAAATTCAAGATCTTCCTACATCCTCTGAGCAGCAAGATACTGTCAGTGACTTTGAAAAAAGTGAAGAAGAGGCAGGAGTGACAACAGCATCCTGGCTGAGAGCTCCTCCAGCCACTCCTCTCCAAGTACTGTTCAACCCAGTAGCCGAGATGCAGATCAAACTTTTTTCCCAAAGAGAAGAACAGGATTCTTACAGGTAAATATGGCAAAACTGATGTGAGATAAGATTTTGTTTTCATATTAGATGACATGATCATTAACATGTCTTTATTTTGTACTTTTTTGTGTGTGTACAGTATTTCTATATCAAGGTACAGGGCTTAGGGCTTAGGGAAACTTGTCGTGTATCAATGACATATATTGCACTATTTACATTCACAGAGCAAGTTTTCGTGTCCAAACATCTCCAATTACTTCACGCACAACTCAGTGGCTATCTTGTACCCCATGTCGGCGTGTGTATACCAGGCCTGGAGTTCCTGGTTCTCCGTGGTGTCTGGTTCAGTCGGTGGCTCACGCTGCTCTGCCGTGACCTTCACCACCACCACCACACAAATATTACTCGGTTGCCAACTAATCCTAATACAATACATCAAAAGTTTTACACCTTATACCCTATAAAACAGAATATGGCTCTTACATAATGTTTTAACAACCAAAACTAGATAACACTGATATAAAGAAACATCATAAATCAAAACATTAGAAAACTTATACAGTAAAGTATAAGCATACAGGCCGTGAACCACCCTCAATGACATTGGTCATTCTCGGGCATCACCTAATCATAGACAGTGGTGTGGGCCGTTATGTAACAGTACTAGTAAATAACAATAAATAATAATAAATAAATAAAAATACTGCATTGCCATTTGGCAGGAAACAGCGGAGCAGTGATGGAGGGAACCCCAGCCGCAGCTCTCCCCCTCCCTCATTCATTGTTTGCCTCTGTACATACATAATGATTAATTCTTTTATGTTTTTGACCTTATGTTAATTATTTTTATAAATTTTTACCACATTCTGTATTAACCTTCAAACGTAGGGCTAGGAGAATTTTCACTACCCGTCACAGATGGGCTAATTTAGAAATTTTAAAAAGATTCTAATGAAATTGATATATACTGTATATCATTCAATTGGATTTGTTATTTAGATTGCAAAATTGTAATAAAAATCTTCTCACTCTCCTTTGAGGATAAAAATACAGTTAACCCTCACTTTACGCGGTCCCACATTCCGCGTTTCCACGTTTACGCGGTGCCTTGCCAGAACCTAACGTGCTCACATTACGCGGTACGTGAACCCCATTACGCGGAGAGTGTCCGGCGCGACGCTATTTTTAGATTCGCGCCACCCGCCCGCCTGCCTGCCTGTGCTCCTCGCCTCTCCCTCCTCCTCCCTCCGCTTGGGCAAGCCGCGCGGTAAGGTTGCGCAGTGTGTGTCTTTGTTGCGTTATCACTGACGTCATATGACGTATCGGACTGTGATTGGCCATGCATCCCTACCCCCCTCTGCTGCTAGCTGTAATTGGCTTAAAGTATTATGACGTGTCCACCCGGGGGAGGGAGGGAGGGAGGAAAGACGACGCTTGACCTAGCCGCGGCAGTTTCATCCCTCAAGGCCACACCGTGTAATCGTGCATCCATTGTTCAGTAAAATGGCTTCCGCCGGACCACCACCCCCAGAGAGAAACCTTTCCTTACCTGGACCCAGCGGCACTAAGCCAAAGAAGACACGACGTTCCTTAAGCTACGAGGTGAAGTATACCATCATCCAAGAGTTGGAGAAAGGAACGAGGCAGGTTGATTTGGCGCGCCAGCATGGTGTGAATGAATCTACGATTCGAACAATAAAGATGGATGCAGCCAAGATAAAGGAGCACATGAAGATCACAAAGTCTACAGGTGCTTCTATGATCAAGTATTTTCACAACCAGGTGCTTCTCAAGACAGAAAAATTACTTGTGAGGTACTTGGTGCGTCAGGCGCGACGGAACATGGCGGTCGACACGCGCTCTGTTAAGGACTACGCACGTGAACTGTACATGGCAGTGGCACGAAAGATGGGAATTACAGAGCCCAAACCCTTTAATGCTTCCTCTGGGTGGTTACAGAGGTTTAAGATCCGGAACAAGATCACCAATATAAACATTGGTGGTGAAGAAGCGAGTGCTGACCGTGCTGCGGCTAGGGAATTTCCTCCGTTTTTACGTGAGATTATGGAGGAAGGACAGTACAGTGACGACCAGGTGTTTAACATGGACGAATCTGGTCTTTTCTGGAAAAAGCTACCTTCCAAGTCCTTCGTTGTAAAGAATGCCAGCAGGATTCGGGGCCGGAAGATGCAGAAGGAACGCATCACCGTCCTGTTTACCACCAATGCCTCCGGTACCTGTAAGCTCAAGTTATCGGTGATCCACACAGCACGCAAGCCGCACGCCTACAAAACCATGGACATGACCAAGCTAAATGTCCACTGGCTGACCGCACGTAAGGCATGGATGTTCTCTACACTGTCCCTCTCCTGGTTTGATGACTGTTTTGTTCCCGATGTAAAGAAATTCTGTGAGCGACAGAATGTGCCATTCAATATTTTGTTGCTGCTGGACAACGCACCAGGACACTCGCCCCTACTGTTAGATCGTCACCCCAACGTAAAAGTGGTCTTCCTTCCTCCCAACACTACGTCTATATTACAGCCCATGGACCAAGAGTTAATCTGTAATGTAAAAGCTGCATTCTCAACAAAAAAATTCAAACTCCTGAACGACTACACCAACACCAGGGAAGAGTTGCGTAACCTGAGTGACACCACCACCGATAGCAAGAGCGAAGAAGATGAGGATCAACAGTTGGCACAGCAAAAAATACTGTTCAAACAATTCTGGAGAGTATTTAACATCAAGAAAGCTGTGGACTTCTTGGTGGAGTCATGGGATCAGCTGTCTATTGCTACAATTCGTCACGCATGGAGACATGTGTTGCATGGAATACCAGGTGAGAGGAGGAGTCAATCTGTGACTGGTGAGGTTCAGAATGTTGCAGTAGCAGTGGACCTTGCCAGAGAAGCTGCGCAGACTGTTACAGTTCCAGGCTTCTCCGAGACCACCAACGACGACATCCTGGAGGTGATCAGAGATCCTGAAGTGACTGCCGACGAGATGTTGGAAGAAGATCACGTCAGTGAAGAGGAGGAAGAAGGTGCGTCATTCTCCGAAGAACACAGTTTAACTCATAGTGATATTAAGGGTGCCATGGAGTGTGCAGAGAAAATGAAGTCCTTCCTTTCCCGCGACAATGACGATGACCGCTATGAAGTCTTCCATACCCGGCTGGTGCAGGCTATGGAGCCGTACATCACGGTGTATCAAGACAACATAAACACCAGCCGTCAAAAAAGCATAACCGAGTTCTTCGCCCGCAACCCACCACAGCCAGCCCAAGCCAGTGATAGTGACAGTGAAGATGACTTTGAGGGATTTGTCAGGGAAGCCCTGACAACTGTAAGTGACAGTGATGGTGATTCACCTGAGGGCCAGTAATCTGCCCTCTGCCTCGGAACCAGCCTCCATCCCCGTATGCCGACCCATCTCTTCTACTAACGTAAGTGTTCCACATAACTTTTAGTTTTTCTAACCTAACCTTTATTTTTCCTATGTCAACCTTTATTTTTCCTAACCTAACCTCTTCTATATTACTTGTTTTTTCATACCATCATAAAGTTAAGATAAAATTTTTACTACAACATAGTTGTGTGTCGTCAAAAAGTGGAGTTTGGGGGTCGGCCCGGACTCTATTTCAGTTAATCCCATATGTTATGTTATTCACTTTACGCGTTTCTCACTTTACGCGAGACCCTGCGGGTTACATTAACCGCGTAAAGTGAGGGTTAACTGTACAGTAAAATAATGGCCATGACGTCATCAAATGTAACAATGTTGCGAGATCTAACAGTAATGGCTGCCTTGCTACATGTCACCCATTTTGTAATCTTTTCCACAAACACCCAGAAGGTAGAACACCAATTACATTTTTTTTATTGTAGTATCCTCAGTAAGCCTAATCCACACTTACTTTGAAATAATATATATATTTTCAGGTCAAACTAAACAGAATAAATGTTATAACATGAGAGTTGCACTTCCTATGAAAAGAAGAAATGAATGTCCTCTCAGTAATATTTTTGTTTTATTTTCTTCATTATTTATACTATGTTCTTCTCTGTAACATTCACAAGCACATTTTGCAACTAAACATTCCAGGTAATGAGTTGAAACTTGTGTTCATTAAGCACAGACTTACTCACATGCACTGATTAAACATTCACACAAAACACAGACACATGCAAATACATACACACACTACACAACACACATCAGACATGGAGACATAGTGACATATACAACACACTCACACCAAACACACACACATGAGAGATAAAGGTAGCTCTTCTCCCAAAGAAATAAACTAAAGACATAATATTTTTGTAGTTCTCATCACTTCAATATTTCTTCAAACTGTGATAATCATGGTAGCATTCACCAACACACAATGCTAGTTGGCATTCTTGGCACCAGATTGATACAAACTTTTGCCTGGCAGGCCCTACCCTCCTTGTTTGTATAGATGGTAGAAGAGTGAAGTAGTAATGTGTGATCCATGCTGATGTGCCGAGCCGACCTTGACCACGAGTAGCTTGTATTTGTCGACCTGGTTGTTGTGACTGCAGTGTACCATATCTTTCTAATAATTGTTCAATAACACCACGGCAAAACACACAGAATCATACTTTCTTGCCCATGTTTACACTGAACATGTAGTAGTTATTGTAAAGACTCATGTCAGCTAGCTGTTAAAACAATTTCTTGTCCCACTTCAGGCATATTCTGAGACAGTCTATAGAACCAATCATCATGTCAGATTTATCAATCGACTGCATATTTGCAGTGTCATCAATTTCTACATCTGGTTTTTCAATTGGTTCTGCAATACTAAAGTCAACCTTGCCTGTGTCTTTTTTCTCTCCTTTGTGAATACTGTACAGCAATATCTCAGTTAGCCAGAATCCCTCAAACCTGGAAATCTCCGATAGCTGGAATTGAAATTTGCTTGGAAAATCATTTCCAAAGCCGGAATTTTCCAAAAATTTCCGGCTTTAGGAACAAATTTTCCGAGGTTGAAAATCAAGAGAATTTTCTGAAAATGTCTTGAATAAAGATGAAAGTTAAATTTTTTTTGGGGGGGGGGACCTGACCTGACTCAATGTCAGGTGGAGGTAGGATGGGGGATTAGTGGTCTCATATTACTGACCTTCTGACGGAATGTCAGGTCACCCTTTCTTGGGTGAGGATTAGTGGGTCTCATAACCTGAAGATGCCTTGAATAAATACAAAACCTAAGTATTTTTAGGGAGATTGTGATAAGTATCAGTATAAATGATCAAAGTTGTATCCCTTCAACATTACATTACATAACATTTAAAAATATGAAGTGAGAAAGCAGAAAGGTGTGGGTAATTAGAGAGATGGAGTGGTAACATTCACCAGTGTTGCCAAGCGATAAGTTTCTCAACAGCTGATCTTTTAATTCACCTCCATGCAGTCCCACAACAAGACCCTCACTTGTTGCTTGTTGTCTTAATTCCAGTGTGTGTGTGTGTGTGTGTTTTGAGCTTGCCAAGCACCTTGTAGGATTTGAAAAAGTTGATGAAGAGTTTGTTCAGGAGTCAGGTGGTGAGGTGACATGCCAAGACACTTACTGGGTACACAGCACACACATTAACAGCACTACTAAACCATTGTCTTATAACATTTTACATTATAATTTCTAATTTAAAATTAATTGATACATGATAGCTCGACGGAACTACTTTTGCACTTAGACAACTGATCAATGAGTAAACCATGGCATATTGAGACTCAATTTACATTAATGATGTCACAAAGCTTTGAAACTGCAACCACATAAGTTATCACAACCAGTACTTGCCAACAGTGCGTAACAGAGACGTAACCGATCGCCCAAGCGGCTAGCGAGCTGATCAGTAGTGAAGAGGATAAAAGTAAAAGTAAGTAAAAGTATGCAAATGTACTAAGTTAATTACTAAAATTATTAAGCGTGGTGCAAAATAAGGGATGTTTATACTCAAATTAATCGCTATCTTACAAGAATTCCAGCAATACAAATTATATTTTTGTAAGTCAAGTCAATGACATTTTATAACTAGTAAGTGGTTGAAGGATCCGTTGGGGGGGTAAAAGTGACCGCACTATCCCCAACCTTCACTGTTTGTCTAAAGCAGAGGTTCTCAAACTTTTTTCAACCAAGGACCCCCTATATACCATGACACATACAAATATTGTTAATAATCAAAGAATAAATTATAGTCCAAAGCATTTGTTCATTTCAACCCAAATCCAAAATATTCTGCGAATTGGAATCGCCAAATCTCTTACAAACGTTAAACGCACTATTTCTCAAAAACTTTTCGCTGACCCCTGGGGGTCCGCGGACCCCAGTTTGAGAATCACTGGTCTAAAGTACTGACTCATTCATGATACGTACAGTACAATAATTTTTATTTGTTTTTCATTAAATAGTACGGATATGTTACTGTAATAATCTGTGCTTATTAATACATGCACCCTTCATATACAATACAGGTATGTATATACCTCATAGGTACAAAATAATGTCATTCAAGACATATTCAGATTATAAGACCCATTAATCCCCCCACCCAACACTGGGTGACTTGACGTTGCATTAGGTCTGGTTAGTACTTGACCCAATAATCTCCCACCCAACCTTCACCGCAAGTGTTAGACATGATTATTTATGTATTACAGTCAATTGAGTGAAGTGTGTAACAGAGACTTGACGATCGCCCAAGCGACTAACGAGCCGATCAGTGGTGAAGAGGATAAAAGTAACTGCTCTACCATGTATTCACACATGTATCATATCGAGCTTTTTTTGTTTTAAATATATTTGTTTAACCAATTCTTTTAGATGAAGTATACAGGATTAATTTGATAAAAAAATGGAGTGTAACGAAATTAGAACTGATTTTACTGACTCTGGTATCAACATTTCTTACGTTTTTTTTATAAGAGAATGGAATTCCCCTCACAATATCATACAGAAATATTTCGTTTAAGGATATCTTATTGGAAAAGTTTTGTAGATAATTTATGAAGGATCATTATGGTATCAAATTCATCTCCCTATTACAATTAGCCACCCTTGAGTGAAGAAGGGAAGGGTGGAAGCTGACCGTGCAGCCCTCCCCCACTAAAAAGTTGACTCCCACACTCTTCAGCCAGCATTACACACCAACATTACACCTATACATCACACACACACACACACACACACACACACACACACACACACACACACACACACTCCAACAACCACCCACACTCCAACAACCACCTCCAACAACCAGCCACACACACACACACACACACACACACACACACACACACACACACACACGACGCGCCGCGCCGCAAGCATATATATATATCTCCCCACACACACACACCACACTCCCACTCATGCCCCTAACAAGGGAATTAAGACAGCAGACATAAGGAGTGACGGCCTTATTGTGTGACAAATTGGCATGTTTGTTACTGCGAGTTAAATATCCGCTGTTGAGGAGTGCTTGGCAAAACTCATTTCCACTTCATTTCTCTAATCACCCACACCTTTCTGCTTTCTCATTCCATATTTTAAAATGTTATGGAATGGAATGTTGAAGGGATACAACTTTGCTCATTTATACTTATATCACAATCTCTCTAAAAATACTTTTGGTTTTGTGTTTATTCAAGATATCTTCAGGCATGAGACCCACTAATCCCCGGCCAAGAAAGGGTGACCTGACATTCCATCAGAAGGTCAGTAATATGCGACCACTAATCCCCCACCCTACCTCGACCTGACATTTCGTCAGGTCAGATACATGAGACCAGCAATGCCGCCAAAACCACACTGACTGTGGAATGAGCGTTTCGGGAACAAACACGGAGAATGATACACAGAAAGTGGGGAGCACAGGAAGTGGGATACGTTTTCTTTCTTTCTTTTTAATAACACCCATAGGAGACGGTAGGACTACTTTATAATTTTAAAGCCTCCCACTGTTCAAGCATGCGCTCAACTGCTGCAACGACAGCCATCGAGTGGCACAAGCATGGGAGATTTTGTGTCGCTTAAGGTCCAGAAAAGTTTGGGCAAGTTTAAGTTCATATTTCCTTTTGTCACTGTGGGAGAAGTGTGTATAAATATTTCTGATTATGTCTTCACAATGTCGTGGTAGATATTTTACTGATTCTGATGCACATAAATGAATGCTATAACAAATATACATTTATTTTAATATATAAAATTTTGTTCTTCGATGATGTGGCATATGTATGAATATGTAACATAATAGAAGGTATTAAATAAAACAGCCATATTAATATACAGTGAGTTCTGCTATAACGCGTGTTTTGATAACGCGAATTTGCTCTAACGCGATTTATGAATTCGGAACAATATTTGTATAACACGAACGCTTGTTTGCTATAACGCGATTTTTGCTTACTATTTCTCCAATTTTGTGGTATTAACTGTGAATATGGTAAAGAAGAATATCTCCAAAAAGCGTTCTGATGATAGAATTCCCGGTGATTATCGTAAAAGAAAGGATATAACACTTGAAGAGAAGCTCGATGTTATCAACCTCAAAATCACCCTTCTCCCCCATCAAGTTACATTCATATTTTTTCAAGGTAAAGTGTTAAATTTACTGTATGATTTCATTATTAGATATGAATGTAACATTTATTTAGACTGTGCTATCCTTTGTGTTAGGCTAACTACTAAATTTTTTCGATTTCGAGTAATCTGCACCTAACCCTATTTTCTCCATAAGCCCTGTTATTTCTATTACGCGATTTTCTATAACACGATATTTTACAAGAACACAATTATCGCGTTATAGCAGAACTACCTGTATTACAATAATCGTTATTACAATTTCAATGTAGAATAAAGCTTATTTTGATTTGTAGAATTTATGAAGATTGGGTGTAGAATGTGTCTAGAACGCGGCCTTATGGTGACTAACTGGCAACTAAAAATTCACGTTACTTGCCAAAGGTCACTAGAAGACTACAATTCGGCAACTCTGCACGAGACCCACTAATCCCCCCCCCAGCTCCATGGGAGTGGAAAATACCAGTCTTTGTTGTAACACACAACTTCATTCATGCCCATATCATAAAGATTTTTAATTTTCAAATACTGTACAGTATTTTTAGTTGTAACTTATTTATTGGTAGTATTTTTATTTATTCCTCACATTTCCTGGTACTGTATATAGTATTTTAAGAAAACTATGGCTACAGGAGCAAAATACACAGATTTTTTTCTTCTAAATACTCCCTGCTATAATGGAGGTGTGTGTGTTTTATATGCCATAAAATATGGTACTGTATTTTTTATGTTTTTAATGTCATTATATTTCATTTAGAACATTTGCCGGAAGGTGTGGACAATCGGCTTTTTCGGACAGGTGGTCCCCCCTGGGTTTATATACCCAGTGAAAGTATATTTTTTCATATTGAACCTGATATGACTTCCTTAGGGGGAGCCTTGTTGTAGTTGGAAGACACTTAAGTAGATTGCACCTCTTATTACATTAGTTAAGGAATGAATTCCAACAAATGACTGTAGAGATTTTGTTTGTTCATGAGCCTGAACAGCCTGCAGCATAGCAAGAGAATGCCTCCAGTAGTAAAACCAGATTACATTCTCTGGCAGTCGGTGATATGACCAGTATTGCCTTACAATTTGCAACATGACTCCTATGGTGCAAAGCAAGTGTAAAATAACTTGGCAGTGTTTGTGATCCATTTATTATTATTCAGTAAATATTGCTATTAATTTTTAGACCATTGTTCACCTTCTATGTAGTTTTGCATTTGCAGATCAACATTTATTCTTCTCCGTTATATAATTTTTCACTGTTTCCTTTGTAGACTTGAATTCCTTGGAGATGGTGCTGAACTGAGAGCTACAATAAGTGCTGTACTTGGTGAGGATCCACGTTCAGCATATCGCAGACAAAAGTGCTCCTCTCTTCTCTATTACTTCACTGTGGATACTGCCCATATTACTGCTTGGTTTGAGGGGGATACAGCTGAAGTTCTACGAGTACATCCATTACAGACATACAAGAATACATCCTCTATGGAGACTTAGTGTATGAAGATAAAGCAGAAAGTGAATGCTGTGCAAACACGGCTTAGATATACAGTCAACCTCTTGTTTATCCATGTATTAATGTCTTTGCGAGTCATCTAATGCAACAAGGTTACAAATATATTTACTTACCTTATTACTGTATTAATAATTGAATATGAAAATGAGTCCCATTGGCTTGATTCTCAATCAGGGTGTAATGTTTTTTTTTTTTACGGGAATTAGCCAACCCGGGCACAGGTCAAACGGCCCACAACGGAGCCTGGGGGGCGAAAAAAAAGAACGGAAAGAAATTGAAAATATAGAAAAAAGGTTATACTGTATTAATCTACTGTACACCACGAAGATGCCGGAAAACCAGCTTTTTAAGGTGAGACAGATTGTAAGAGCATGGAAACACAGAAGAAGGCAAAGCATTCCACAGTTTGGCTGTGTGAGGAAAGAAGGAGGTACTATAACGGGTTATTCTCGTGTAACCGATATCCACAGAGAAATGGTGGGCACCGCGGGCAAGACGTGTGTTACGAACCCACGGCCTTACCGGCGGTACACAGGATGCCAAATCCCCTGAACATTGCCCGTTAAAGTACCTGTAAAAGAGAGAGAGTGAAGCAACATTGCGGCGAAGAGAAAGGGGAGAGAGATTGTCGACTAAAGGAGGAGAGTTAATAAGACGAAATGCCTTTGATTCCACCCTATCTAATAGTTGGACAGAAGAAGAGCCACCCCAGATATGAGAGCAGTACTCCAAGTTAGGACGAATGAATCCCTTATATACTTGGAGCAACTGCTCAGGAGTGAAGTAGCTGCGGCATCTGTACAGCATTCCCAACTTTCGGGAGGCAGCTTTAGTTATACTAAGGATGTGTGATTTCCAGGACATATTGGAGGAAATGGTGAGGCCTAACATATTTATTTCAGAATTTGGGGGGATGATAGCGTCCTGAAATGTAATTGGTGGGAGATCGTCTACTTTACAAAGTGTAATTGGTAAATATTGAGTTTTGTTACTATTGAACTTAACCAAGTTTGTATCTCCCCATTCAGAGATGCTGCACAGATCCGCATTGATAGAAGTAATGATATCAGTTCTAGAAACAGATCTAGTTTGAGAGTTAGGAGGAAGGGGAAAATGTGAGGAAGAGTGAAGAGTAGAATCATCGGCATAAGAATGGATAGAATTAGTTGTAGTGTGAAGTAAATCATTGATAAAAAGAAGAAAGAGAGTTGGTGAAAGAACAGAACCCTGTGGGACGCCACTATTGGTAGAGAAAGAGCGAGAAATCGATCCCTCGACAACAACTGCCATGGATCGGTTCTCAAGGAAGCTAGAGATGAGAGAACAAAGTGGGGGAGAGAAACCAAAAGAGGGAAGTTTAGATAGCATACCCTGTCAAATGCTTTGGAGATGTATATATTGCATTAAACTGTACACCCTTGTTATTCGTGGTTTCGAATGAGATGGACAAAGCAATGATTTTTTAGTTTATTAACAATGCAAAGATTTTCTTTTGTCAGACTTGGCAAGGTGAATGTCTGAGCGTACTCTGGACAACTGGATATTGTCTTACACTGTATACTTATGAAAATAGAGCAAGTTTCTCTGGGCGTTAGGCATCACGGCTGTTGCTTGTGAATTAGGTGATGTCACTCTGTTTTTGGGGGGGAGGGGAGGGGCAATGTTATTGTTTTTTGTTTTTTTCAGACAAGGCAAGAACAATGTCTCACAGTCTTCTGGATGACCTGATATTGACTGACATTGCAGAATTAAGAAACTACAAGAAATTTTCCTTCGTGTCTTGAAACAAACGCGGTGTTGACACCTGAAACCCAAGGGTCAATGTACTTAACTTTTCTCTTTTTTTCAGATTATTAAATATGTTCAAGAGTTCTTTTTGGCCACATGCTGTACAGCAAGATGAATGCCTCACCTTTTTAGTATTTTATGTGCATTTAAAGAAATGTTTATGTTTCCACAGTAATTATAAATAGACCCAGAGTAGAAAAATCCAGCATTACCCAAGCAGTTGATCTTTCAATTTTATTTATTTATTTATTATATTTTACACTTAATTATTTCAGTACAGTGGTCCCTCGGTTAACGAACACAATTCGTTCCAGAAGGTTGTTCGTTAACCGAAAATTTCGTTAACCGAAACCATTGTTTCAATGGGATTTTGGGTAATTGGTTCCAGCTCACCGAAAATTACATGAAGTAAAAAAAAAATGCAGTAAAGTACATTTACTTTGAGGTGTGTATGTAGAAGGCTCCTGGTTGATGATGCTGATGTGAATTTGAAGTGGGAGGTGGAGGATGAGAAGGAAGTGGGGGTGGAGGAGAAGCATTTTACTGCTTCTTGGAAGGCAAGTCACCTTCCATAAAAATGTCAGGAACCTCTGGACTGACAGATTCTCCAGCAGGAAAATCCTCTCTCCTTTTTGAAGTGGAAGGCTGAGGGGTAGCATCTTTCTCCCGCTGCCTTTTAGAGAAGAAACTGTCAATTTTAGTTTGTGGGGCATTTCTCCTCCTCATCATTAACTGATTTTTGAAGGAGACCACTCTGTCCTCAACATTACACAAAATAGGTTCTGTTGTTTCCACATCAGGGTGCCTTGAAGCCAGTTTCCTGAACTTCTCCCAGTAGTGAACAACATCTTTCAAATCTGAAGAAGACATATGGTCATCACTTTCCCTTTCCTCCTCACCACTGTCAGCTTCTAACATCTCATCCGGTTGTTGCAAGTCTTCAGGAGTAAGTTCCTGCTCATGAGACATCACAAGCTCTTCCACATCATCCTCCTCCTCTTCGAGGCCCATTGACTGACCAATGGACACAATCTTTTTGTCCAACTACGCTTCTTCCTCAAATCCCTCAAAATCATGGACTGCTGATGGCCACAGTGCTTTCCATGCAGAATTGAGGGATCTAATGGAGACTTCTTGCCATGATGGCACAATCAATTTTACAGCCTCCAGGATGTTGAATTATGTCTTCCAAAACTGTGCCAGTGTTAGTTCAGGATCAGTGGAAGCTGCCTGATAACAACTCCTGAACATTTTCTTCATGTACAGCTTCTTGAAGTTGCTGATCACATTCTGGTCCATTGGCTGTATAATTGATGTAGTGTTGGGAGGCAAAAACAACACTTTGACAAAGTCAAATCGAGACTCCAAAGTACTGGCAAGTTCAGGGTCATGACCAGGAGCATTATCCATTAGGAGAAGAGCCTTTAAAGGGGGTTTATTGGTGGTTAGGTAGCTCTTCACAGAAGGGCAAAACACCTCAACAGCCCATTTATTAAAGAGCTGTCTTGTCACCCATGCCTTACGGTTGGACTTCCAATAAACTCCAAGCTGTCCTCTTACCACCTTTTGTTGCTTGAACACCCTGGGGGTCTCAGAGTGGTAGACAAGCATAGGCTTCAGTCGTAAATCCCCTGAAACATTGGCACCAAGCAATAGGGTGAGACGGTCTTTCATGGGTTTATGCCCAGGTAAAGAGGCTTCATCTCTGGTGATGAATGTCCTTTTGGGCATTTTCTTCCAGAACAGCCCAGTTTCGTCCACATTGAACACTTGCTGTGGAAGATAATTTTCTTCCTCCACCAGTTCCTTAAAGTCCACTACAAATTTTGCTGCTCCTTCTTTATCTGCACTGGCAGCCTCACCATGTCTAATAACACTGAAAATGTCACTTCTTTTCTTAAATTTTCGAACCAGCCCTTGCTGGCCCTAAACTCTTCAAACTCTGTGCCAGAAGAACCAGGTTGCTCTTCCTTCAAATGTTCGTAAATTTCCCTGGCTCTTTCACAAATAAATTCTGTCGAAATTGAATTTCCTCTCATTTGTTTTTCCTTTATCCAAATGAGAAGTAACCTCTCTGTTTCTGCAATTAAGGATCTACCTTTAAACACTGGTAGATTTGTCTCTCTCTTTCACTTCTGTGAACTTGTCTTTCTGTGCAAGAATTGTCGACACAGTTACCGGTAATGCCGACATGCTATAGTCTTTACTAAGCATATTTGTTCTAATGCCTTGTTCATGTTTCTTTATTATTTCCTGTTTTACCTGGATTGAAATTGCCTTTCTAGATTTCTTTGGACCCATGCCGGATTCAATAACAATTTCAACACTAAAATTTTAAGTTTAATTGCTGTAAATAAAGATTATTTTATTTAAATCAACAGTGCACTGCGCTATATATTATCAATATGTTAAAGAAATTTCGGAATGACCAATAATTAATTGTACTGTAAAAACGTAAAAATAGCTTATGTTCAAGAGAGCCACAAGCAAGATGTTACCTCCACTGACCAGAGATACAAACTGATGCTTTGGTGGGTGAGTCAAGTGGCTGATTGGCGCACCAAAAACTAGTTTCCTGTACTCCAATTATGTTAAATAGGTGTTAAAATAACTAACAATTTTAATATAAAACTTGGAAAATTATTGAATAGTACAACCTTCTTGATATTTACTCAAATGGGAACGAATTTAAGCCCTAGAACCGATTACTGTACAGTATTGGCGGACTAATATTCCAGCTGGTGAGCAAGAGAAAACATGTTGACATGATTTCGTAAGAATTTCGTTAACCGAAATGAAGATTCTTATGGAAGGTAATTCGTTAACCAAAATTTCATTAACCGAGGCTTTCGTTAACTGAGGGATCACTGTATTTATATTGTTGGTATAGTTCCTCTTACTGTACGTCTATTCTCATCTGTGCTCAATTATATTCTGTTCGATGGATTAACCTGGGAAAACCATATCATTCTTTAACAACACCTTATTATAATCATTATACCTACATGGTAGTCTACCACCACCCAGGCCTTTATTCAAAATATAGCTTCATTCAATCATTAAAAGTTTTAGGTAGCGTGGTAGACGAGCTGAGGCACGTGGGCTACATAGTTTATTTTCTGAGAACCAATTGTTAGAGGGAAAGGAATGGTGATAATCACAATATACTAAATCAGTATTTATTAAAATCAAATGTAAATGGTATGACCGTTTGAACCTTTATCCACAACAACAAAACTAGGTTCAATCACTTATTACTTACTGCAATACTCAAACAAGAACAGATACTGCAACACTTAAACAAGAACGGACCATGAGGTCTTACTTCA